CGCCTCTTTGGACATGCCACAACACCACCGCGCATGTATGAGGTCGCGGTACGACGCTCCGGTGGCATTGCTACCCCCAGGGCCCCCGTCCCACCTAACCCTGGAGTGGTTGACCACGAGATCTAGCCCTTTGACTTTCCACGGACGGGATTTGACTAGTGGACCTCTCCACCCGGTTGTGTCAGGTCGGCCTAGAGGGACACCGGGGAGCAACATCCGGGCCAAACCCATAGCTAAATCCACTCCATGTAGACCCGACGCATTCGTTCCCCCCCTCCAGGTGCCGGCGCCACACCCCGGAGATGCGTGCCGCCTCTTCGGACATGCCATAACACCATCCGGTTGTGGAAGGTCATCCGATATATATAAACACTTGGAGCAAAGTCCCCTTCCTATAGACCCGATGCGGCTGTTCCCCATTCCAGTTGCCGGCTGGCGGCGGCACCGTTCGTGAGGGGGGTCACAACGCTTTGTACAGAACCGAAAAATAATGTATGTATGCTTATTAACACATACTGTATGTAAGTTAGTTAAATAATAATAATAAAGAAAACAATGAAGAAAAAAAAACTATATGTATGCTTATTAACACATACTATATGCTTATTAACATACTATATGCTTATTAACACATACTATATGTATGCTTATTAACACAATCTATATGTATGCTTATTAACACATACTGTATGCTTAATAATAATAATAATACTATATGGAAAAAAGAAAAAAAAGAAAAAAAAAACTAGGCATAGGTGCGGCCAGGGCAGATGGATAGCGCCGCGGATCGATGACGTGTCGGCTATGCCGACGGCTGCCATCGGCATAGCTCCTGGTCGGTGCGCTCTGGATCGGTGACGTGTCACCCGTATCTATGCCGACTGCCACCCGTCACGGCCGTCCGCATAGATTTGACGTCGTTAGCCGGCCGTGATGACAGTTGTCAGCGGGCCCGCATCTATGCCGACGGCCTATATATGCCGACGGCAGCTGTAGGCGTAGTCTGGGATAAGCCGACGGCCTATATATGCCGACGGCTGATGTCAGCGTAGACGCGGATAGCCCGACGGCCGTTGTACGCCGACGGCCAGGAGCTAGCTGTCGGCATAGCTCGGACTAGGCCGACGGTAGCTGTCGGCATATATTTGGCTGTCGGCGTAGAGCCCTGTTCCGGTAGTGATTCCGTTGATAACTGACGACAACGTCCCAATATTTTGCCGCTGATCAACTCCGACTTGTAGTAGGATGATGATTCAGACTGATTGATTTCCCTTTTTCTACGGATTCAGTTTTGAATTCAAATTGCAGGGATCGGCGACGCCTTTAAATAAAAGTCATCCAAGGGTTCAGATCCACGAGACCTCGTCCGCTCTTTTCGTCGTGGGCAGGAAAGAAATCACGTACGAGAAGACGACGCGAAAGGATGCCAAAGAGGGGGCGGGACGATGACGAGGAGCAAGGAGGAAGAAGAGCTAAGCCAAAGCCAAAGCCAAAGCCGCGGGAGGCGCTCTACCTCGTCCTCGACGACTGGCACTCCGGATACACCATACGAAAGGTGAACCTGTTGCCCGGCGGGAACAACCATGAGCAGACCTATTCTTCCCCTCGCCCTTTGCCCAAGCCTTTCAACCGGCTGACGGCGCCGCGCGGGTACCCCAAGCACATCACGTGGGCCTTCGGCGCCCGGATCCTGGCGATGCACGCCAGAGACACATGCTTCACCTTCGGCCCATCTACCTCCCCGTCGGCACAAAGCTGTTGTTCGGTCTTCCCCATGCTGGACGTCCGCTCGCGGGGCTTCACCTTCGGCCCTGGCCAGCGGCATACTCTCAATCCCATCTACCTCCCCGTCGGCACAAAGCTGCTGTTCACCCTCAGCATGGGCGCCTTCGAGATGCTCCGCTTGGAGGAGCGCCGCCCCCCGCCGCAGGATAGGTCCTGCGGCATGGAGTGGTCGCGGGAGGACTTCGCTCACCAGCCCTTCAATGCCTATGACATCTCGTCGTACTCCGTGCACGCTGAGGAACACACCTTCCTCGTCAGCACCAAGACGATTGACGACGATGCCACCGAGGCCACCTTCGCCTTTGACACGGTGAAGCTCGCGTGGAAACTGCTCGGCAACTGGGCGCTGCCCTTCGACGGCCGTGGTCACTTCGACCGGCGCCTCGAGGCCTTCGTGGGGCTCTCCAAGGACCCGGGCACCTTCGGCCAGCTCTGCTCCTGCCAAGCGCCCAACTCTGCCTACACCGCCGGTCATGAAGGGCAGTGCGCTCCCCCTCCGCGGCTGCTCTGCAAGGAGAAGCTCTTCAGCCAGGATCCGTCCCATCGGCATGTGAGCGCCACCCTGGTCTACATGGGGCGCGAAAGCAAATTCTGCCTCGTAGAATGCCTCTCCATTGATGAAGACAATCGGCAGCACGTGAATGAGGACGACGACTGCCCTGATCAAGCCCTCGTCAAGGAGGAGGGAGATGTGGGTCTGCACGGCTGCTGTGTCTATCTCTACCGTTTGACCACATTCTCTCTCAGCCTTGACACGAACGGAGACCTCACGACTAGCGGCAGCTGTCGGGTGGAATTCTACAGAGTGCCTGATGCAACCACTAAGTCGTTCCTAGCTCACGATCCTGTGGCATTTTGGATGTAGTAAAATGCTAAAGTCATGTCATATGACATTCAGTTTCGTTGCATTCTATGTTTAGTTAATATATGTACACCCAGGCTGATTCATTTAGTGAATGTATTGCGTTATGTTTTCAAGAAAAAATCTCGACCATTTTCGTCGACAACAAGGATATACGTCATTGATAATTTCATGACCCTCGACGGGACGTGGTGTTTCTGAGCTAAGCTCAAATGAGGTGAGGAGAACAGTAAAACCCAAAAAAATTGAAGATAAAAAAAATCAGAATTTTTTATGACAAACATTGACAGTGCTCACAAATGAAATGACATTCGTGGACGTCATGGCAAAAAAATAAAGGACGCATCTAGCGGGCGGCTGGGTGCCCGCTAGCGCTCCTGGGCGGCCTGCTTTTTTTGCCAAATAATGCACGTAGCGTGTTGTTACTTAATCATCCTTGTGGCTAAAAAAGACACTGCTAATTAATCATCCCTATGTGGTCTCTTCTCACGTGATGGATGTCTGCATGCCTTGTATTAATGTTTCTCATGTTCGTCCCTTATGCATTAATTTTTTGTTTTTAAAATTATAAAAGACATATTTTCTAAACGGTGTGTCGAAATTCAAATCCGTTTTCACCGTTGAAACCCTCGCGAAGTGCTCTTCAAAAATAGATCCCACATGGGATGTTTCGACGAACTAGTTTAAATATCAATGTGTGTGCACCTAGACTATATTGCCGCGTCAACTTAGTATATGTGTGTGTCAATAGTCCTGCCAACTAAACATCAACGTGTGTGCAACTAGACTACATTGTCGCGCCAACTAAGCATATGTGTGTGCCAATATTCCTGCCAACTAAACATCAATGTGTGTGCAACTAGACTAAATTACCGCGTCAACTGAGCATACATGTGTGTAACTAGTCCTGCCAACTAAATATCAATGTGGGTGCAACTAGACTACATTGCCGCGTCAATTGCGCATATGTGTGTGCAACTAGTGTCCTACCAACTAAACATCACACTAGTAGAAAAACAGGGCTTACGTTCGGGGCCAGATAAGCCCATTAGTCCCAGTTCAGTCAAGAACCGGGACCCATGGGCCCATTGGTCCCGGGCCTGCGGGGCCTCGTGGGGGTATCGGTTCCGGTTCGTCTGGCCTCTTTGGTCTCGGTTGGTGGGACGAACCGGGACCAATAGGCCTTGCTCCTCGCCCACCACCATTGGTCCCGGTTGGTGGTTTCAATTGGGACCAAAGACTGACCTTTAGACCCGGTTCATGCCACGAACCGGGACCAATGAGATGCCTAAATAAGTAGGAACAAAATAAACTTTAATGAATAAGTAGAAACAAAATAAACTTTAATAAAGTAAAATAAATAAACTTTGATAAAATAAATAAAAATAGCAATAATAAGTAGAAACAAAATAAAATAAAGAAAGAAAAAAAGAATTTTTGTAAAAAAATAAAAAGCAAAAAAGAAAAGTAAATAAATAAGTAGAAACAAAATAAACTTCAATAAATAAGTAGAAACAAAATAGACTTTAATAAATAAGTAGAAACAAAATAAACTTTAATAAAATAAAATAAATAATCTTTAATAAAATAAATTAAAATAGCAACAGTAAGTAGAAACAAAATAAAATAAATAAAGCAAAAAACTAATAATTTTCAGAAAATAAATAAAAAGCAAAAAAGAAAAGAAAATACATATGTAGAAACAAAATAAACTTTAATAAATAAGTAGAAACAAAAGAAACTTTAATAAAGTAAAATAAATAAACTTTAATAAAATAAATAAAAATAGCCGCAGTAAGTAGAAACAAAATAAAATAAATAAAGCAAAAAAAAGTGCCACCTTCTGGGCCACCACGGCCTGAATACGACTAGAAACCCAATCGTGGGCCAGGATTCAAGCCCGCAGCAGGCCCAGTAGGCCCACAGGCACACACTAACAGTGTTAGGCCCGAAAGCCTGCAGTTGAGAGGAGCTCGAGAGGGTGGGCGCAGCAACGCTTATAGGCCACTCTCGAGCTCTCACAACTAGCGAGGTGGGACTAAACTTTGGCCGCGACGCGGGCAGCACAGGGCCTTTGGTCCCGGTTGGTGGCACCAACCGGGACTAAAGGGGTGCATTGGTACCGGTTCGTGGCACCAACTGGGACCAATGCCCCCCTTTAGTCCTGGTTGGTGCCACGAACCGGGACCAATGCCCCCCTTTAGTCCTGGTTGGTGCCACGAACCGGGACCTATGCTCTGGGTATATAAGCAAGACTTGTCAAAAATTTCAGTTTTTATCGCATTCCCCCCGACCTCCACGACGCCGCCAGGCTGCCCCGACCTCCACAATGCCGCCAGGCTGCCCCGACACCGCCGCCCGCCGTCGCCGTCGCCCACGCCCGTCATCGCCGCCGTCTGCCCCCGCCCGCCGCATCTGCTCACGCCCGTCGTCGCCGCCGTCTGCCCCGCGCCGCATCTGCCCTGACGCCGTCGCCCTGCCTCGTCGTTGCCGTCGCCGCCCCCGTCATCGCGCCGTCGTCATCGCCGCCCCTGCCTGCGCGACCTCGCTGTCGTCCAATGCCTCCCCGACCTCACCGTCGCCTCCTCGCACCGGCCCCTGCACTGCCCCGCATGCGCCGCCTCTGCCTTTGACTGGCCCCGACCTCGCCGTCGCTGACGCCACACACAGTGAGCCCCCGCGCACCTGCCCTGCCCCCGTGCCGCCGCCGCCGCCGTATGATGTTTTTTATTCATAGATGTGATGCTTTTTTCATATATGTTCATGTATGTATGTTGATGTATGGATATCTGTATGATGTTTTTTTGTATATATGTTGACGTAATGTTTTTTTCTTCATATTTATATGATGTTTTTTTTGTTCATAGATGATCATATGAATGTTTTTTGTTCATAGATGATCATATATATGATGTATGCATGGAATATGATGTTTTTTTTATTCATAGAATATGATGTTTTTTTATTCATAGATTTTTTTTGTTCATGAGAGAGGCAGGGACGTCGAGGAATTTGTACCGTTTAGGGTTAGGGTCGTCGAGGAAGAAGGAAAATAAGGAAAAAGAATAAAAGAGGACGAAGGAAGAAGGAGAAGAAGAAGGAGACGAAGAGGAGAAAAAAATAAGAAGAGGAAATAGAAGAAAAAAAGGAGAATAAGACGGAATAGAGGAGAAGGAGAAAAAATTTCTTCTTCTCCTTTTTCTTCTTCTTCTTCTTCTTCTTCTTCTTCTTCTTCTTCTTCTTCTTCTTTTTATCGGGAACGAGGGTGTCGAGGATCACCGAGGGGTCGAGGGTCGGGAACTAGGCTAGAGGGTCGCGAGGGTCGCAGAGGGGTCGAGGGTCGTTGAGGCCGGTCGAGGGTCAAGGGTTTGAGGGTCGAGG